TGGGGCAGGAGAGCGGGCCGCGAGGCCACATTTGGCTTTCAGATGCGCTGAGTGCAGAGCTAATGCGTGATTAATTTTATTCATAAAAATGTTAATCACTTCATTGTGAGATCTTTTTAACATTCAGTGCAGCGCGCACCTTTTTAATTTCTCTTGCCCACCGCCTCGCAGATGTATTTAATATTTTCAGACACGGCCATAGCGATCCGCCGACCCAGCAATTAAGCATACGTTTAAAATTCAACAACAAGCAGCCACAGCGGCGACAAACAAGCAAACAGGAGAAGGCACGGAGGAGCGGAGACTCACCCCTGCAGCCCAGACCTGTTGGGGGGGCAACGCCCCCAGCAGCCACCCTGCCTGCAGGGAAGAGCCCGGAGAGGGCCGGGGCCTTCCTGGCTGGAGCCAGCCGCCTCCGGCGCGGGAAGGGCAGCTTGGAGCCCAGGGACTCAGCAGTACAGCCCTCGGGGTCGGGTTTGTAAGACTGAAACTGCCGGGCCTCGTTCACCTCCCAGCCCCACTGCAGAGGTGGGTCCTGGTGTCGGTTCTGGAAGCGGGGTGCTGGCTACGTGCATTGACTTCCCCACCGGGCCCCTGTACAGCCCACGCGTGTGTCCCCGCTTTCAGTCTAAGCACCCAGGACACTGCGTAAATGGATCAGGGGACCAGAGAACCCACAGGGTCTTCAGAAGCCAAACAGCAGCATCAGAAAGAGCTGCCCAAGGCGCCGGCTCCAGGCGGAGGAGGCTGCCAGTCCCCCCCAGCGTCAGCTCACACTGGAGCACAGCCCCACCCCACTGCGGGGGGGGGGGCGCTGAGAGCAGGGCCTGCAAAGGAGGGGTCACCCAGGTGCACCCCTCCTCAATTTTGGCCAACTTCCCATCAGGACAACCCCAGAACCTGGGCCGCTCCAGGGGCTGCCTGCGCCAGGCCAGGCCCTCGCGGGCTGTGGCTGCCTCCTTTGAAAAAGAATTCTTAAAGATGTCGCCACCGCATCGCTTTAAAGATGAGTATGTGGACATTACATATTAATGCATTTTCTCCTGCCTAACATTACCTTTTTGCTTTCATTTGAAATTAAAACATTCTGTACATCCCCCTCCCCAGCGCGTGGGCCGCAGGCCCCTCTGAGCAGCCCGGTTCCGGAGGCGGCGGGCTCTGCACCCGGCCTCAGCGAGGCGCAAAGTCCGCAGTGCCCGGGATGACCTCCGGGGCTATCCTCAGAGCCACCGGCTCCGCAGGGCGCTGCCAAAGCGCCTCCTCAGAGCTGAGCGGCTCCATCACTGTGGGCCTGTCACGGGTAGGCCGCTCAGCCTGTGCCTGGGGCGGGCAGCCGGAGCCCTGAAAACTGAGGTCCGATCCCCGCTCACCTGGCTGGGCTTCACACCCTTCCAGGGCAGCTGGGAGCAGCCCTCCTGCCCGGCCACCTTCAGGCCCACCCTGGACTCCAGACCTGGAACACGCCTGCCCCTGCTTGCCCAGCCAGGGCACCTCTCCAGCGGTGGGTGGGACTGGGTGCCGGGACCCCACCCCCACCCCCACCCGGCAAGTCTGGGCCGCAAGCAACCAGATAGTTGGGGCCTGGAAGAGGCTGACTCAGGTCACGGTGCTCTGTGCTCCCTCCCGCCGTGGCAGTGGGTGAAAACAGCTTAGGCTTTCCAAGTCCCTGCGTACCCCAAATCCCCGAGGAGCGGGCACCCTCACCCACAACCCTCCCAGGACCTGACTTTATCCCCTCCTTTCAGGCCCCCAACTCGGGCGCCCCAGAGACAGAGCCCCACCTCACCCCAGCTGGGCTCTGTCTCCCGGCAGGGGCCCAGATTGACTTCAGTTGCCCACGTCAGTGCCCATAAATCCTGGGTCTCCACCAGGCAGCCCCAACCTCACCTTGAGCCCTGCCTGGCACTGTCAGGCAGCCCTTGCACCTGTCGGAAGCCTCCAGAAGGGGAAGAAGGATGGTTGGAGGCCTGGGAGTGCCTGCTCAGGACAGGCCTGGGTGCCGCGTCCGGGGCCTGCCCTCGCCCCAGTCAGGGTTCAGGGCTGGGGCCCACCCGCGGGCATCCCTGGCCCCCCACTCCACCCTGCCCGTCCCCTTCCCTCCTCCGGCCCCCTCCGGCTCCTGCACACTGTCGGAGAGCCGTCTGCAAGGACAACTGAAACTTTATAGCGCATGATTCATCGGGCGGCGAGCCCCTCGGAGCCACGGCGGTATTACATTCATCAGTGTCAGAGCTCCCAACCCGAGATATGAATATGAATTCTCCATATTGCAGGCGAGATAAATGTGCGGGTGAAGATAATTGATCGGGGAGGAGGGAAGGGCGGTGGGAGCAGAGAGGTCAGACTCCTGCAGGCAGAGTGGGCCAGGGCCTGTGTCCACTCCCCAAGTCCTCGGCTGAGAAGGAGGGCTGGCCTAGGAGGACGGTGCCCCCAAGGTCTCCCGGGGTCTGGAGCAGAAAGGGGGGTCGGCAGTGTTTGTGCCCCCAAGACTCAACATACAAGCCCTCACTCCAGACACCGGGTGACCTTTCTTTAGGGACCCTTTTCCGGGGGGGCGGGCATTAATCCTGTGCACACCCTCCCTCCTCCGGCCCTTTCAGGTTCAGTCAGCCACCCCCCAAACTGTCCCCAGACAGGGGTGACCAATGGTGAGAGGAAACATCTACACAACCAGAAAGTTGCAGAGGAACCATCTAGAAGAAAAAAGGGAGGGGTTCTTAACCGTCCTCCTCTACCGCAGGAGCTACAGGAGCACTTGGGGCCGTGTGACCCCCCCACCCCCCCCACCCCCGTGGCCGAGCTCAGGCCTGGACTCCCTGGAGAGGCGTGAACAAACAGCTCACAGAGGACAAAACACTTTTCAATACTCGATTAAAAATTCATTCCTCGCTTTTCACTCGAGAAAAGCAATTCCGATGCTGGTGCTGTGCTGTCCTTGCGTGGAAGTCTCGGGGTGGGGGGCAGGGGGCCCTTCAGGACGCCTAGGCTGCAGGCACTGCAGCCTGGTCACCCCACTGGAGAGCTCGTGTTGGTCCAGCCTCCCAGGAGGCAGCCCCCAGGCGCTAAAGCGGGCAGAGGGCAGGAGAGACTGCCAAGGGGGGGCGCAGGCCTGGGGGAGGCAAGGAGAGATGGGGGACAGAGGGCTCAACCGCCCACCTGCAGCCCACCTGCTGCTTCCCGCAGCTGCCAGAAGGCCCCCGCAGAGCCTGGGGCAGGGAGCCTGGCACAGGACCTAGCAGTGCAGACAGCACTCTCGCCAAGGACACAGGGCCCTCTGGCCCCGGTGGCGTGAGGTCTGGGGCTCCTTCCAGGAACTCCGGAGTGGGGAGCGCAGCTGCACGGCCCCGCAGCCTGAGCATGGAGGACACCCCCTGAAATCGCGGGTGCTGCCCTAGGCCTTAAAAATGCCCCACGGGCTTTGCCCAAACGAGCCGCCCACCCCCACATGGCGCACTCAGCAGCCCCAAATGCAAACAAGCGGGTAGCAAATTCCACACAAAGAAAGCAGCTCCGGATTCCCATCCCGGGCAGCCCTAAGTCCAGTTACCCTGAGTTTTGCGCCAAGCCCCAGCCAAGCCCCGGGAATCGCGCACATCCCTGCTGCCTTCAGGACCCTGCTCCGCTGTCTGCCCATAGAGGGCGCCTGGAGCTCGTCCATGCAGGCCGGGGAGCCAGCTGCCAAGGCCACAGCCCCCCACCCCTGGCCCCGGCCAGCCCCTCATCTCCGCTGCCTGCACCCCCAGCCGCTCCTCCCGCCGCCCCGGGACCGGTGGTGGCCCGCGCCACCCCGCGAGCCCCGCCTTCCGTCCCGCCAGCCCTCCGCGCCACCACCCCTTGCTCTGGCCTCCTCTGGCCTGGGGGGTCACCCGTGGGGCTCCTGTCTCTAAATGGACTGGGGGAGGGGGCTGGGGAAGGAGGCCAGAGCCTGGGGGCTGCCCTCCTGGTCCTCCAACGCCTGCGTCCTTTTCCCTGCAGCGGGGTAAGACCAGGGGCAGAGACAGCCACGGCCCGGCCCCCACCAGCAGCCCCCCACCCACCAGACGGGTCCCGAAGGGGCTTGGCGAGGCGGATGTCAGGCCTGGGTGTCGGCTTCCCCGGCCCCCCACTCAGCCTGTGCGCGAAAGGGCCGGTTTCCCTGCGGCCCGGCCGACCTGCAGCCCTGCACACGCGCTTCCAGGAGCTCAACCCCAGGGCCGGGCTCAACAGCCGGCGGGGGCCGCTCTGCCCTGGCCGGGGCGCGGGGCTCCCTGGGAGGCCGGAGGGCGCCTCCGAAGCCCAGACTCGGGCCCTGCTCGAGCTCCCCCAGCACCGAGCACGGAGCTCGGCTCGGAGCCTCCTGGGCAGCCGCGGCAGAGCTTGGAAGAGCCTTCCCGCTCCCGCCGCTGACTGAACCAGATGACTAAAAAACTCACTCCAAGCAAAATTTCCTAGTCCATTACGTCCTCACTCTACCCACGGCCACGGCCCACGCGCCGCGCAGGCGGGAGTGATGAATTGATTCTGAGCCCGAAGCTCTCCTTGGGGACACGCCTGGAAATTCTTTTCATTATTTCCCCGTCGCTGCCCACCTGCGAGGCCGTTTTTACCAAGCGCCGAGAAGGGAGCTCGTTTCTGGCCCGGCCCGGCCCGCCCCAGACAGCCGGCCTGGCGCGCCCGGGAGGGGCCGATCCCGCAGGCCGCGCCCGCCCGGGCCCTGGGGCGCCCCAGCCACACCGCAGCGCCCACAGCAGCATTTCATGGCGTTTATTAGACAAAAATATATGATTTAGACAAGGTCGCTGGCGGCTATTTACACTCTGGAACCACGCTGTGCACAGAGGCGCGGCCGCGAGCGCGCGCGGCTCCCACCGCGAGTCCACGGGCGGGCGGGCCACCCCCTCTGCAGGCAGCGTGGACGGTCGGGCGGCGAGGCCGCGCGTCCGCCCTCGCCGCCCAGTCCGGGGTCCTTCTCCACTCCCCCCTCCCCGCCCCCTCCCCCCGCGAAGGTACCGGCGCCCCGATCAGGCGGACGGGAGCGCGGCCAGGATGCGCGGCGGCCCCTCCTGCGCGGCCAGCGAGCTGCGGAGACGAGAAGACGCGCCGTCAGCGGAGGGCGCGGCCCCGAGACCCCTCCCTCCTGCCCGCCCGCGCCCGGCGAGGGGGCGCCCCAGCGGCTCCCGGCTCGGGAGAAACCCGGGGACCCCTCCAGCCCCGCGCCCCCCGCCCGCCCCGCGGCGGCCTCGCGCGCCCGCCCCCCCCCCTCCCCGCGGCGCGCGGCGGACTCACTTGTCCCGCGCCGGCTGGAAGGGCGACTGGAGCTGCGGCGCCGGCGAGTCGGGCCGGGGGGCCGGGTCTCTCTCTGCGGGGAGGGAAGGCGCGTTAGGACCCGACTCTGCGCGACGCCCGCCCCGACGCTCGGCCCCCCAGGCCCACCCGCCGCCGGGCCGCCCGCGGGAACACCCAGCCCGGCGGGCGCGGGGGCTGGGCCCGCCCGAGCCTGGGCCTCGGGGGCTGACGCCCGGGTCAGGCCCGGTCCGCGCCGCGGCCTCCCCCACCCCAGCCGGGCCGGCCCGGCGCGCGGGCGGTACCTGGGAGCGCGGGGCTGCAGCGGGCCGAGGCCCGGTCGCCGTGGGGCGCCCCCGCGGCGGGCGGCGGCGGGGGCGCGGGCAGGTGCGGCGCGTGGGGCGCGGCGTGGGGCGCGCCGACGCCCAGGAGGGAGCGCATGTTGAGCAGCGAGCCCTGCGCGAGGAACGCGCCGTTGGTCCAGTTGGGGAACTTGCCGATGTGGCACGTGTACAGTCCGTGGCTGGGCAGGAAGGCGGGGTGCTGCAGCGGCGCGCCCGCGGGGGGCCCGTGCGCGCCCGGGGCGCCGGCGGGCGGGGGCGGCGAGGCCTTGGGCGCGCCGTCGGGGCTCGTGGCGGTCTCGGCCAGCGACCAGATCTTGGGCTTATGCGGCGCGCCCTGCAGGCCGCCCGCCCCGACGCCCGGGCTCGGCAGGCGCGTGCAGCCGGGCTCCGCGCCCTCCTTGGCCAGGCCCCGCGGCGAGGCGCGCGGCGAGAGCGCGTCGGCGGCCGCCAGCGGCGAGCCCCGGTCCCGGGACAGCGCGGCGGGGGCCGCGGGCGCCGCGGCCTTGTCCTCCTCGTCCTCGTGGCTCTGGTCCCCGTCGCGCTCGTCCATCTTGTCGATGTCGATGCTCTCCAGGTCGATCTCCTCGTCGTCCTCCGCCTTCTCCGCGTCGCCCTCCGTGTCGCTCCCGAAGAGGCCGCCGTCCTCCGGGTCCTTGCTGCGCGCGCCCCACGTCACCTTGTTCTCCTTCTTGAGGCGCCGGCGCGCGTTGGCGAACCAGGTGGACACCTGCGTGAGGGTCATCTTGGTGATGATGGCCAGCATGATCTTCTCGCCCTTGGTGGGGTAGGGGTTCTTGCGGTGCTCCTGCAGCCAGGCCTTGAGCGTGCTGGTGCTCTCGCGCGTGGCGTTCTTGGGCCGCCCGGGGTCTCCGTACTGGAACTGCCCGTAGGGGTAGTAGGCGGGCGCCGTGTGGGCCGCGAAGGTGGCGGGGTGGACCCCGGGATTGTCCTTGAGTTCGTACTGCGAGCCCTGCAGTCACAGGCCGGCAGGGAGGAAACGGGAGGGGGAGACAGGGGAGGGAGAGAGAGACGTGAGTCCCCAAAGCTGGAAGGGGGCGGCCCTCCAGTTGGCCGGAGAGCAGGGAGACCCTACAAAGCACGAAGGGGGAGCCAGAGCCACCTGCCCCTCGGAACCCCTTTCCACAGACCCGGCACTTGTTTTTTGGTCACTGGAGAAAAGCTCCAGAAAGGGAGCGACTCCGGTGGCCGCAGCTCAGGGGCCCCCTCAGGCTGAGCCGCAGCCCCCCCACTCCACCAAGCAGAGGCCCAGCTTCCCAAGTTTATCTGACTCTGCTGGAGGGGAAACCTTTTAACTAGGCTGAGAAAACATTTTCTCAACGCAAAGCGCCGCCGGCCGAGCTCCCTCCCCTCGACCCTGGGCCGACAAACAAACCGCCCGGCTCTCGGGTCTAAATCCCCTGCAATTTAAAACGAAAGCAAACTCCTTCCCGCCCGCACATTAATCTGCATATAATGGCTCACCACACTCCCGTCCGGCCGGGACAGGTAATTTAAAATTTTAATCCCGACCACCAATGACAACAATAACAAAAGACTCGGTTTTTTTTTTCTAAAATACAAAAGGGGAGCTTATCAGCGGAGCACCCCGCGGGCGGAGCCTGCGCCGCCCGGGCCTCTCCTCGCTGCGTCTCAAGTTCCCTGGGACGGCGAGCACAGGCTGTTTGCAGGCGGTTAGAGGCCCTGATTTATTTGCAATCAATATTCTTTTTATCATCAGTAGTAAAGCACAGCAAGTCAAATTATCCCGTCAGGTTTTTTGGGTAAATAACATTTTATCTTTCTAACAACCTAATTAGGCCTCATTATTACCGTCAATGGCCCGGCCGGACGGCCATGATTTTGTTTTTTGACTCCCAGGCTCCCCTCAGAGCTCCACGGGGTGTGCAGGCCGACGCCGGGGCTAGAGTTTCGGCTTCACGGCCCCAGACCCGGCAGGAAAGGAGAGAAACACACGCGCTCCTCTGGGGGATTCCCGGTCCTGTCCAGGTCCAGGCCGCCATCGCCTTCCCTGCCGGGGCCAAGGCCGCCCGCCCCAAAGGGCTCATCCCTCCTTCAAACACTGTCCCCCCAACCCACACTGTCCCCCAGAACCCACACTTGTCCCCCCAACCCGCACTTGTCCCCACAAGCCGCACTTGTGGGCTCTGAAAACCTCGCTAAGCAAGTGTCGCCTCCGAGCAGCGCCGCGGAGGCCGCGCTGGCAGGGACACTCCCGCCTGGGATAAAGTTGCACGGCCGGCCGGGGACGGCGGTGCCGGTCCCGACGCCCCAGAGAAGAGGCTTCTCGGGCCAAATTTCGCTTTTGCCTCGACCTTGCAAAATGCCGGCGGCGCCCGTCTCCGCACTGTGGCTGCGGCCGTCGGGAAGGCGCTGGGGCCTGGGCCCCGCGGGGAAGTCCTTCCGAGAGGCCCCTTTAGCTCCCTCCTGGCCGGCGCCCGCCGCTGGGCCGAACCGGGCTGGCTCTCCCACGGCGCCGTCTGCGCGCCCGCGCGGCCCTCGAGGAAGGGGCTTTTCCAACTACGCGGAAAAGTTGCGGGAGAGCGCGGCGCGCCCCGGCTGCCGCGCGGCCGGCGCGCGTTTACCTGCCGCCTCCTCTTGGGGCGAGGCTGAAGACTTGGGGACCCGTCCGGAAACCGGGGATCCCTGCCGCCGCCGCGCAAGAGGGGGCGGCCGCCCGCGTCCTCGGCCGCCAGTCACCGCGGCGCGACCGGGATCGGACCGCGCGCCCCGAGCCGGGCCCGAGACCCGGCGGCGCCCCCGGGCACGAACCCGGCCCCGCCGCCCGGCCCACGCCGCGGACCCGCCGCGCCTCCCGGCCCGGGTCGTGCGCGCCGCGTCGCGGGCCGCGGGCAGGAGGCGCTTTCCCTGGGCGCGAACGCGGCGAAAACTTTGGCAACTTGGGAGTCCACCGGCGGCGGCTCTCCGCCCCGCGAGCTGCCGATCCGAGGCGCCCGCCCGCCCCGGGACCGCGGCCGGCGGCTCCTTTGTTACCGGCCTTCGCCGGGCGGGGGCCGGGCGGGAGCGCGGCTCTGCGCTCCGGGGGCGGCGCCCCGAGTCTCCCCGGCCGGCCCGAGCGGCGCGGCGGCCCGGGGAGGGGTCCGGGCACCCCGGCGAGCTCGGCACCCCGGCCGCCCGCCCCGCCGCCTCCAGCCGCCGCGCGCGGGCGAGTTCGGCCTCCGCCGGCCGCGCCCCGGGCCTGCTCCGCGGCCCCGGACCCGGCCGCGCCCCGGTCCCCGCCCGGCCTCCCGCCTCCCGGCTGAGCCGGCGCGGCCGCCGCCCGCGGCCTCCGCGCGCCCGGGCCCCGCCGCCCGCCGCCCGCCGCTGCGATCCCCGCGGAGGCCGAGGCCGGGGCGCGGGCGGGGGGGGGGCGCGGGGCGCGGGGCGCGGGGCGCCCCCGGGCACTCACCATCTGCGAGAAGAGGCTGAGGTCGGCGGCGTAGGGCAGGAAGGCGCTGTAGCTGGGCGCGCCCGCGTAGGGCCCGGCCGCCGCGTACATGCCCAGCACCGAGGTGACGGCGGCCGCGCCCGCGCCCGCGCCCAGCTCCGCCGCCCCGGGCCGGCCCGACGAGGCGGCGGCCGCCGCAGCCGCGGCCGCGGCCAGCACCCCCGGGCGCTCTCCGCCGTAGGCGCCGGGCCCCGCGGCGCCCAGGTACTGCGGGTAGCCCAGCTGCGGGAAGGACATGTCCGCGGCGCGGGCGGGCGGGCGCGGGGCCGCGGGCCGAGGCTGTCTCCGGCCGGTGCTCGCGGCCGCCTCCCGGCTGCGCCCCGATCCGCGATCGCGCGCCGACTGCGGCGGCCGCCTCCGCTCGGCGCGGGGCTCCGGGACCCAATTTGAAGTTGGGGCTGTGATTGGCATCCCCTTGAGCGCTGGCCCCGCCCCGCCGCCCCCGCCCGGCCTCCCGCCCGCCCTCGCGGCCGCGCGCCCCTCCCGGCGAGCACGTGGTGCCCGCGCGGCCGGCGCCTCCAACCGGGCGGGCGCGCGGCGGCCGGTGGCGGAGCGGGCCGGGCGGCCGCGCGCTCCGGCCCTCCCGGGCCCCGGCGGCGGACGGCCCCGGGCGCCGGTGCGCGGCCGGGGGCGCCGGGGCCCGCGGGGTCCCGGGCGGGGTCCGCCCTCCGGCAAACACGGCCAGACGCCGCGCGTGCGCCGCGGGGGCAGCGGGAGGGGCCGGCCGGGGCGCGCTGACCGCCGGCGGGGAGCGGCCTCTCCTCGGAGCCCGGCGCCGCCTCGGCCTCCCCGGGACATCTTCGGCGGGACCCCGGGGTGCGCCCCTGCGCGGCGCGGAGCGACCCCGCCAGGCGGGCTGGACGTCCCCGCGGCCCACACGCTCAGGTCGTGTGGCCAGGACGGGCCTCGCTGCCCGGGAAGGAGCGGGAAGCGCCAACCGCTGCGGGCTTTTCCAGTCTTGGAAACTTCGAAAGGGCAACACCAGCGAAGAGGCCCCTCGCGTGGCGGTGAAGGAGGCAGCGCAAGGTGGGGCACCTGGGCGAGTGGGGACCCTCCCTCTGGAGAAAGCGCCTCTGCAGCAGGAGGAAAACCTGGCGCCCTGACCCCCACGGGGCACCCGGGTGTGGCCTGAGGGCCTCTCCTGTGTCCACAGGCGCGCAGGGGCAGGGAGAAAACTTGAGTGGAGCTCTGGGCAGGAGGCCCAGGGCCCAGGGCACGGTGCTCCTCGCTGCCCTCCCCTCCTCGGGCCTTAGCCCACCAGCACTGTGAGAGCGGGCGGCGCGGGGCTCTGGGCCTCAGGGCCCGGTGCCGCCAGTGCAGGTCCACCCAGCTGCTGCAGGGCGGCGGATTCTGCGCTGAGCTCAACAGCTGGCTCCTGATGCCCAGCTGGGGAGCTGCCCCGGCTCCTGCAGAGACGCCTGCCCCTTTGCAAAGCCCCATCCCTTGGGAGGCGCCCAGGGCTCACCACTGTCCTGGGATTCCAGCACCCAGGGCCTGCAGGAGACCCTGCTCGACTGGAGTCCAGGGCTGGAGTCTGCAGTCAGTCTGGGTTTGGACCTGTCCTGGGCTGCGGGAAGGAGGCTGGCCTCTGGGCCCGGTCCCCAGTGCATATGTGGGTGACCTCGGCCACCCACATGGACCAGGTCCCCCCTCCCTAGCCCCAGCCCCTTCCACGCCTGGATCGTGGAAGTCACAGGAAGATTCTCATTTCCCCAACTTGGGGCCTGAGGAGAGAGGAGGCGCCTGCCTATAATTAGCAGCAATAATGCTCATAATAGTGATCACTAATTAGCAGCTCCATAATCAGGCTTAGTTTCTCTGCTCACAGCTGGCCTTTCTGTTTACTCTGCCTCCACCCCAGCCCCTGCTCAGCCAGGTCCCCCCAGCTGCCCCAGCTGCTTTCTTGCTGTGACACAGATTCTGGGGGGCCAGCGGGGGCTGTGCTTGTCTTTCGTGCTTGGCAAAGCCCCGAGCCGCCCCTTCCTCAGGTCCCCAGCCGACCACCTCGCCCCCCCCAACCTTCCTCCCCTGTGCCCACAACAAACTGATGGGCCAGCCCCCCACTGTCCTGTTCAGCAAACTCCAGTGTCACATGCAGAGCTCCAGGTGAGTGCAGGTGAGATCGGCCGCTGGCGTGACCTGGAGAAGGGGTGGAGTGTAAGCCCAGGGGAGCCCAGCCTTGGGGTCCAGCTCCCGCAGCAATCCCCACCACACGTCTGCAGTGCTATCAGAGCCTCCCGGGTGGGGGCAGGCTTCGTCCTGTCCCTCAACCAGCCCAGAAAGGCCACCCAGGCCATGCCAGGTCCCCTCCTCTGCCCGAAGTGACCCGGCTTCCTGAGGGCAGAGGACGCGAGAGGACCAGAAGGCCTGGCCGCAGCCTAGGGGCCGGGGCTGGCGTGGGAAAGACTTCGGACTTGCCTCCCGGAGCTGGGAAGGGTTCCGCGGCCGGCGTGGCCATCTCTGCTCAGGACCAGACCAGACCAGACCAGACAGGGTGCGGGAGGCCTGTGGGTGAGCCGCCCGGCTGCTGGACCCCACGGGGAGTCCTGGCTCACCCCGTCCTGCTCCGCCTTGGCCTTTACCCCCAAACATTTGACCCCTGAGACTAATGTAGGGCAAAAAGAAAACTGCCCACGCCACGCACCCCGGGGACGAGGAGGGGCAGGGCAGGACGCAGGCCGAGGGCTCCTCGTGGTGGAGTCCGCGGCGGAACGCGCCCCCAAGCCGGCGGCCGAGCTGGGGGGCGCTCTGCTCCCTGCCGCGCCTGACCCGAATAGGCGCGCCCCGAGCGCCCCGAGCCCGCGCGCTCCTCTAGTCCGCTGGGAGGTGCGGCCGGCGATACGGAGGGGCCGGCTGAGCCCGCCGAGCTCCAGGGAACCGGGGCCCCCCGCGGAACCCCGGGGCCCAGCCTCGCTGCTCCGGGGGCGGGAGCGGGCGAGCACGGCCCGCCTCGGAGGGGTGGCTCGGGCGGGCCCCGGGCTGGAGGCTGCGGGGACGCAGGCGTCGTCAGGGAGCCCGGGGCGGAGCGCGGGCCGGGCCCAGGGGTCGCTGCGGGGCGGATCGCGCTCGGGCGGGCCCCGCGCCCCTGCGCCCGGGAGGCGCGTCCTGGGCGCGAGGCAGCCGGGCCGTGGCCGCGGAGGGGCACCCCCTGGCTGGAAAGCCCCGACCCGGAGCGCCCCGGGGTGGGGACGGGCCTGGGGGCGCCTCTGCGCGCGGGGGGGGGGGCACGTGTGCGGAAGCCGCCGCGGGGAGCGGCCTCGGGAGGGGACCGGCCGGGAAGGCCCGCGGCGCGGAGGGCGGGGGAGGAAAAGGGGTTCGCGGCGGGATGGAAAGTTTCCCGGCGCCCCGCGGGGAGGCGGCCCCAGCTGGAGGAGTCGCGGCCCCGCGTGTCCCCGCCGCCCCGGAGCGCGCCCTGCCTCCCGCCGCGTCACTCCAGGGGGGGACAGACGCGCCCGGCGGCGGCCGCGAGGTCAGCGCCGTCCCTTCCGCGCGATGCCCCGCGCGGAGACCCCGCCGGAGCCGGCCGGGGAGCAGCAGGGAGGGCGCGGCCCGCCGCGCGCCCCGGGGCCCGTGGGGACCTGCCTGGCGCCGAGGACGGGGCCGCAGGCGTCTGGGGCGGCGGTGCCCGGCCGCGCGCCCGCCACTCGCCCCTCTGAAGGGCCTTTCCTCGCGCCGCAGATGGCAGGTCGGGGTGCCCGGCGCCCCCCCCCCGCAGCCCCGCCCGGCCAGGCCCCCGCCCCGCGCGCGCCCTGCTCTCCGGGCCTTGTGAATGCTCGCGGGGACTCTGCACCTTTGTCCGGCGGGACCCAGATGGCCGCGCGGCGCGGCGACGGCCGGGGAGCAGCCCTGGAGGCCCGGCCCGCGCCCCGAGCTCCGCGGGAGCGCGCTCAGTAAGGCGCCCCGGGCGCCGGGCCAGGCCGGGGTGGAGGCCCCGGGTCTCCGCAGCCCAATCGGCCGGCCCTGGTCCCGGGCCTGCGGCCCCTGCACCAAGCCAGGGCCCGGCGGGGCCTCCTGCGGGGAGCAGCCCCCCGCGCCCGGCAGAAGCTCCCGACCCAGCGGGGAGCGCCCAGGGCCGGGGCGGGGGCAGCCTGCGCGGGCCCGGGGAGGAGACGCGGCAGGGCGCGGCCTCGAGGGCTGAGGGCGGCGTGGGGGCGCCTCCGAGCCGGCGAGGCTCGGGGTGCGGGCAGAGCAGGGGCGGCCCGGCCCGCCGAGGGGCCGCGGCGTGGCCTCCCCGCGTGTCGGAGGAGCGAGCTGCCCGCGCGCGCCCACACGCGAGCGTTTCACCCGCCTCCCCTTCATTAACCGGACCGTTTCCATCGTGCCCCGCGTAGTGCGCCCAGGAGGGAGCGGTCTCCCTGGTAATGTGGGGTCGCCGGGGCGCGCTCTCGGGCGGAGGTGCCGCGCCCCAGCTGCTCTTGCGTGTGTCTGTTTTCCCCGCGCCCCCGTCGGGGCCATTACGCACTTTTTAACTAGTTTGTGTTTGGGTTTCACCGTCCCACGCTGGGCGCCCCGAGCGCGAGCGCGGTGCCAGCGCTGGCGCCGCGGTACAGGTGTCGGAGGTGTCGGGGCGCGCAGGGAAGCGCTGTCGGACCACAGCGGGCGGCCCCCCGCAGCCCCAGGCCCTGGCAGGCAGCGCCCTGGAGCTCCGAGGCCAGGAGCTCCGGAGCGCTCCATGGCGGCCCCTCCTGCGGGGTGGCAGGGCGAGTGGGCCGGGCTGGGCTGGGCTGGCAGGGGAGCGGGGCCTGTGCCCTGGGCCCAGGGGGCCACGGGGGCTGCCGCCCTGCGGTGACGGAGCCGGAGCTCCGGGAATGGACAGAGGCCCGGGCGCTGCCCCGCCCAGCCGCGCTGCCCTTCCTGAGATGACCTCGAGCCGTGAGCGCACCCTGGCAGGCCCCGGGGATTCTTTTCAAGCTCTTTTTTTGTCAGGAACAAGAGATTGTTCGTCTTTGACTAGACCACATAGAAATTATGATTCCGCGGCAGTGTCTGTTTAATTAGAGTCATCTCACTTGCATTTAATTACCTAATGAATTGTTTGTTTAAAAGGTAGCAGCCTTGTTTGCCCAGCACGGTGCCGGCCTGATAAGAACTTGGGGTCCAGGACACTGCAGTCCCAGGCCCGCAGGGCTGCGGTTATATTTTAACTCTTTGAGTAGGTCATGCTCCCACCCCCCAGGCGAAGAGGGGCCCCTGGCGGGCGGGGGGCAGCTCCTCCTGACCACCCAGAGGTCTGCTGCTCTGGCTCTGCCCGAGTCCCTTAGGAAATCCGAGTCTTTTCCCATTTGTCTTGAGAGT